TAACTCGCAAACATACCCTGCGAGAACATCAATGACATGATTTTATTAAGATGTTGAGAACTATGAAGCTGCGCGCAACTATGTTTTTTTACAGCAATGTAACTTTTAGACAATTTATTCGATATACATATTTTATTCATGACATTAACAGCAGACGTCCAATATGACGGATCTTTTGTTGTTCGCCTAAATCGTAATAGTGAAAAATTCGTTAAATCGAGTGATTTTTTAACCATCCAGTTAAATAACTAAATGCATTCCGTTAAAAAAAATATATATATTGGCCCGTAGTAACCCAGCAAAAAACACGATTACCTTAGAAACGAAAGTGGAAACGAGCTAGGCGATGGGAATCGCTTACCCTTTCGCTTCGAGGAGGCCTTATTTTAACATGGGCATGTTATTGGCGGTAAGCCCTTACCCGCCCTCGGAGTTTGGTTGAAAAGCGTCCTATCCCAGAATTTGGTTCACATTCAGTGCTGCAAATTTTTTGGGTTATTATACACATACCCAGTAAAAATTTGCACGGTTAGTACTAACTGCATGTTTAGTATACACACCTAATATTGTACGAATGGCAACTCGGAAAACAGATTCTGTTTAGCTTTCTTCGGCTTACAATGTAAAAAAAAGTTTGGTATTCTTTCAGCTTTCTCTCCCCTACGACCTCTCGTTGGAAAATCTTGTAAAAATTAAGGCAATTCTGCCATACTCTCACACAAATGGTTGAATCATACCTCAACATGGCGGCCAGAAAATCTGAACATTTTGGTTCGGTTTTTCAAAACCTCAAACCGCCCCATGCACTACACAAGTACGTGCAACTAGAAATACAAATTATCGCTAACCACGTCTACCAAAATATCTGATGAAAACAAATTACGGGTTACTAAAAAAAACACCTGCCCAAATCTGTTCACGGTTAAAATTTTCCTACGGTTCACAAAGCGGTATACGTTATTTAGATAAGTACGTACACATAAAAATGTACCAAATGTAGACAAATTTTCATGTTTTGTGGGAAGCAGTGAAATTAATTATGTCTGCATGCTAAGGTTTTGCACCATTTTACATCTTTGTGGAGACTTGTGAGAAGATTTTTTTACGTCAATAGAATACCAAAAATTTGTCATACTAAAAGTTTATTTACTTTTGGAACATAATATTAAAATGCGATTAGGCTTTAACTAGTTATAGTGATCATATCACCATTTTTTTATGCATTTAATTTTATCTCCTTTCATAATATCGCCGCTGCGGTGTAGTGGTAAGCAGTGCGCACTTTCACTCAACAGCACCTGGGTTCAAGCCCTGGTCAAAGCTACATCGCAAAAAATATAGAAAAATCCTTTTTCTTAACAGCGGTCGTCCCTCGGCAGGCAATGGCAAACCTGCGAGTGTATTTGTGCCATGAAAAACAGCTTCTCGTAATAATACAATCGCCGTTCGGAGTCGGCGTAAAACTGTAGGTCCCTCCACTCTGTGTGAAAACACCAAGGCGCACCCCACAATTCGGCGGAGAAGCTCGGCCAAACACTTACATATGTGTAAGCGCCAATCTATTTCATTATTACTAATTGCTTTTATAATAGTTTCNCAAAAATATATATTTATATATTTTTAGTATGGGCACCAAGTGGGAAGATGACAAGAAGCTGCTTTTACCAATAACCAAAATCCCTGACTAAAAAATTTCAATAATTTGAAAGTGGTTAATTTGAATCCCGTTCCCATAACCATTATGGATCCAACCGCGAGGATTGGAATTTCGCCGTTCCTGACTCTTCTATGGGAAATTATAAGTGTAGCCAAAGTCAGTCTCGGTTAGCTAGAAGTCAAGGCCTCTGACTGTTCAACTACTAATGCTATCTGATCATAAGCGCATACAAGCGCAGGAATCGAGGAAAATTAACATTAAAACTATTTTTTTATATTTTTTTATTACTTTTAAGAGTAGAGCCAATCTTGTTTCTATAGAACTTTTTATTAAACAAGTAACTTTTAAGCAAAAAACACAACCGACTTCAATTCTCGTATACAAATTTAGAAGTACCGTTAGTTTTATCACGATCCAATGATCGGAACTAAACCAAATTTCGGGACGACCCGTGAGGTACCATCTTTCCGAGATAAAAAAGGAATCATTGAAATCGATTCCCGTGGTCCAAATTTATGCGGTAGTATACATAAAAAAAGAAAATTCCGAGGAATTGATAACCTCCCCTTTTTTGAAGTCGCTTGAAAATGTTTGAGTTTGAGTTGTTAATTTTATGTAAATAAAGGACAATTTATGAAGCTTTAAAAACTTTATTTATTTATTATATACTGTACACAAATGTGGCATAAATGTACTTTGAAGAGTATATTATCTGAAGTGAATTTTCAAATATATTCCTGGGTGCGCCACTGTATGTGATTTATTTATTTATTTATTATCCAATGAATAAAAAATTCTATCTGACTAGGAAGGCTTAAAACGAACCATTTCCGAACTCGATTAAGAAATTTCACTTCAAATATTTTATCACAGAATTAGCCTTTATTACGTTAAAAATTGTTCGACTGGAAAGGGTCCTTTCGATGTACGCTTCTGTTTATTTTGAGACATTACTTTAGTAAATTCAAGTTTATATATATGCATATATTTGCACACAAACTGTTTGTGGCAGAACATGCTAATGCACTTAGTTGTGCAACAAAATGAAAAATGTCTGAATAAACTATCAGAGTAGTTGTCAATGCTGCAGTTGACACTTGCTTTTAAAAGTCGATTTTCTGTCACTCTACCGCCACTAAGTTAACTAGGAAATATAAATGCAAGTACTACCAACATATAGATCATTACGTCAACGAACCAGCAAAGCATGTCGGATGTCCCAAAGGAAAAGTGAATGGAATTGGAAGCAAACAAGTAAAAATTGCATAGGTAAGCGGAATAAAAAAAAACTTTAACTAAGTAACTGTGCTGGGACAAAAAAAAATGTGTGCTACCCTAGCTGACTGCATAGAAGAGTTGTTACCGTTTCTTTCTTTAAATTTGTTTGCTGAAAACAGGAAATTAACTGAGATTCCTTAACTTTGTCACACGCTTGATTAAAATAAGGATAGACATTTTTAATGTACACTTAGGGCCAGTTTATCAATGTCTTGTTAACACTAACTACAGGTTAAACATCGTCACCGACATTATCGACTCCCTGCTATATGTTATGGAGTCGATCACATCGATAACGATGTTTAACCTGTAGTTAGTGTTAACCAGGCATTGAGAAACTAGCCCTTATTGTGTTTTCGTTTATACCAAAAAATCTCGGCTTTTGATTGTTACTTTCTTCCTTCTAGTTCGACTCTTTAACAAGGGCAAATCGCTAATTCTGTGTTCTTCTCCTTAAATGCCGCACTCTAGTAAAGCAAAATGAGCACATATCCGGCCCTTTGAAGCTTTGTCAGGGGATATGACAAACACTTGCACAATTATGGGGTTGTAACGCTGAACGTACTATTTTGCATCATGAAAGGGCAACATTTTTTTTTGGAAGAAACAAAAATACCATTCGATTTGTGCAAGACTACTAAAATAGTGAATGACATGCCGTTATCCTCCACAAAACTTCAAAGCAATTGTTGCCGGGGATCAGCGCTAAACGCACTGCCCTACTCCTGTGCCTAATTAAACATAATATTAGTGCATTAGTATCTGTTACAAAATGACTCTGCCTATCCACTAGGCCTACGATTACATGACTTCTGTAGAAGCTGTCAAGAGTAAACGATGTTGCACCTGTTGTGTCAGTGCCCTGCTTTGTCCCGTCAAAAAATCTTTCCACTCTTGGTAGGCAATTCCTCCACAGCTTGGAGAACCATAGATCCGTGTAAATTAGGGATCATCTAAAATTCCTGCAAAGTTCAAAATTGTTTTAGGAGGGATTGGGAGTTTCTGACCTCGCATGCGGCAGCACAATGAGCCCTGAGCCTTATAGTGTCTTATAGACGATCGCGACATCCTAACCTAACATCACTGGATCACAGATTTGTATTTGGTTTTTGTTACACGGAAGTCCCTTCATTTTCCATGTAAAATCGCCCGCTGATTCCAAAAATCAAGTTAATTTTTTTTGTACTAAGGATACGTTTTCGAGATATTTTAAATTTACCGTTATCCAGCTTAAAACAAAAGGTGGTTCCACTTAGTTACGTATATCTCAAAAACCAATTTAACAATCTGAAAATGAAATACGACNTAACAGGTTCTGTGTAAAATTTTTGCATTTATGCTAAAGCCTGTTCAGTTACAAAAAAAATCAAGTTACTAATGAAGAAATCGATGGATAAGTGAGCAGGAAATAATGTTTTTCATACACTATGTACACCTAAGTAGTACGCTTTTATGCTATATTTCATACACAAAATCTTTGCGGATTTCCATTTAAACACTTATTACTTCTTTATTTATCCGGCAATTTTCTTAATTTAACACTTGACTTTTTTTTAACAGAACTGGCTTCAGCAAAAGTGCCAAAATTTTACACAGAACGTATTATTTTTTAAATCCTTCTGCTGTTAAAGTTTGATTTTTTTTCATATTTTCATAAAAAAAACCAAAAATTTGGAATGATTTATTAATGTATCAGAAACTATTAGATCTATCGAAAAGTTGTCTATGTACAATTTTGTTAGCTTTCGTCCTCCGTATTTCATATTAAGATTGTCAAATTGGTTCGTAAGATATGCCTGATTAGGTGAAGCCACTTTTTGTTTTACGTTGAATAACGATAAATTTAAAATATCTCGAAGACGTATCCATAGAATAAAAAAATTAACTTCATTTTCGGAATCAGCGAGCAAATCTATATAGAAATTGGAAAGTGGCATCCATTGGACATTTTTGCTGTAAGCTAGTGTTATTATTAAAAATTTGGGGGCAATTCCAATTTTCAAAAAAAAAAAAATTAGTTGAAATCAACCACAACAAATATATATAATTATAAAAATGTACTCACATGACAGAGTCCTTTTCGGAGCTTCTATTGGTATGCAGACGTAGAATAGTATTCAGCTCTTTCATCACATCGCTGCCTTTACGCTCCAGCTCCGAGAATAATTCAGTATCTCCTATTTTATGTAGATCCGAACCACTGCGACTCTTTACAGAACTAGATCTAAGACAAAACAAAACATAAAATATTTACATACTCACATACATAAGTATGTACATGTTTTTTTCGATATGGACAAAGCAAACCTTTTTCTAACTTTTTTCGAATCTTTGAGAAATTCTTGATTCTAAAATGGAGATCCAATATTTTTCTACAAAATTTTTCCCAAGATTTGACTAAAAGTTGAAAAAAGTTTGAATTCCAAGCTTTTTTGTCAGGTGGAGAATTCAGATTATTTTCTATAAAAAAAATGTGACGTTTTGTTAGGAATTGGTTGGTTCTCCGATTGAAAATCAACATTTGAACCTTGGAATTTTTATAAGATCTCCACTTGATCTCCAACCCAAATGTTTATTGGGTAACTCCAAATACATATGTACCTATGTAAATTTTTCTAATTATTAAATGTCACCTACCGATCGATTGAGTCCACGCTGCTATGTATATCAAAATCCATCATAAGATCATCGGAGCAAATGGATTCGCATGGCGAGAGCGTATCGAGCGAATCGGCGCGCTCCATTACTGCCTTTCGCAGCGACAGTGGCGTGCGTAAGCTCAACTCGATCGCTTGTTGGAGAGCACTGCGTGCCTTGGATTGACTTTTCAGCGAACGCATTGAACCGGTATTTTCCATGAGTGTTGGTGTATCCGTCTTATCTTTGTGCGAAGTTAAACTATCGACTAGGTCGTGCGCTTCGCTGTTAAACAGCAATGCCGGTTGATCGGCGATCTCATCGTCAATCAAGTTGCCGCAATCGGAGAGTGATAACGAATGTGAAGCGTGCGTTGGAGTGCCCGGTGAGATGGGACTACCCATCTCCAGTTCAGGTGAAATCTCATCGATGTCCTTCTCTTGCAATTCTTCGTTTAGTTTGTGCTTCTTCTGCTTGGTTGCCGCCTCCTCAGATTCTGTGCTGCTCACCAAACTGTCGGTGGGCGAGGTCTCATCATCTAAAAGATAAGTGCTGCCAGCTAAAGCCATTTCGGCAAACTTCGTCTCATTAAGGGTATTGTAAAATGTTTTAGGACGATCAGGTTTTTCCATATCTTGATTTTCGGCAATAGTTGTGTTTTCTGCATTACTTCGTAGTACAGCGCGTGCTGTTGTACCGGTTAGGTTGTTCGTCGTTGACACAGGTTCGGAAAACGAAACTGGAAAATGGTTAGCAGTAATTTAGTATTAAAAAGTGTGAAGCAAATATTAATTATTCACATACATAGTGTACTGGCTTGCATTTCAGTTACTATACCGCTTATATCATCATCGTTTAGATCGACTGACATATGCATAGCTTTCTGCTTCTCATTTTTTTCAGTATCCGTGTCCTTATCTTTATCTTTGTGGACTTCTTCTTGTAATTTATTGCTATCTTCGCTGCTAATACTGAGGCTGCTGCAATCTTTTACGGCAAGCGCTTCGCCGGCATTGCACCAGGAAAGCATATGGAGCTGCCTGGTGAGGATGTTTTGCTTGAACAGGTATTAATGTCTTTAAACTGCAAATGCAAAAAATTTATGTTACTAAATTATGTACACTGCCGTCTGTTTGTTGGCACTTACCCTATTGCCCTTTTCTGATGTTGAGCGATCCAAGTATAGTTTTTCTTCATCTACGCCTTCACTTTCCTCCGAGGAGTTTCGCGTTATGCTACACTGGGCTGGCGCCGTAGTGGGACGGGGTTGTCCTTTATTTAATAGAAATAAAGAATTTAAATGGGTTTTGCAAAATATAGTCTCTGAGATACTCGTAATATTAAAATTGTGAAGGAAGGATATCGACAAAGAATGGAAACCCTCCCAGAGACCAAAAGGTGCTTACTCGGATCTCAAGGGTATATTTTCGCTGTAGTTGGGAATCTATTTATATATGAAATATATAAATAACGTCGTCGCAGAGTTAATATTAAGTAGTGACTTAAAGCACTGAAAGCCACGACTAAGGTTATGCGAAAATCACATGAGAGCTCCGAAGTGGCACTCACCGTCACAGGAATGACTCCGGACACGCTATATGATATTATTCCAGATTCGTCTGTTAACTGCGGACCTGGTACTTTGCCAGTTAATTATTAAATATCTAATTCGTGGCTTTCCACGATCGGTGGCGTTAGCTCGATAGTTGGAAAATATTCATGATGCGTTTGCGAGTCGAACACAATGCTTTGCTCCCTCGAATTATTTTTTACTTATCTCAAAATGATCACTCTATTTCACGAAGTCGACAGAAAGCGTTTGCCTTAAAATACTCTACAGGACTTTACAGATGGGCTCTAGCGCACTTTATAGTAACTTTGAAGTTGCTGTTGTTAATGGCATAGGCATTGGATCTATGTATTTGGGTGTTTTTCGAAAAATTTTAAGAGTTTATAATTAACTTGCTAATCATTTCCCCTTAACAAAAGAATTTTTTAATATTTTTTCAAAAATTTCTAGATACTTTTTACTTACCCACATCGACCTGCTTTGTTATCTGATTGCCGTTAGCTGCACTCCTCGTGCCGCCAATTCCACCATTTCGTTCATAGCTTTCGCGACTCAGTACAGTATTGGAGCGCACAAGACCACAGAGTGGTAGTGGTACAGTTTGATTCTCATTGGGTAGTTTCGGCAAAGCGAGCGGCTCTACAATCGAACTAGACTCGCTGGATAACGGATCATCCAGATCGCGCACTTCGAATTTGTGACGTCCATTCATGACCATTTGCAAGTTTCGCGGACGACTGCGGCTACGTTTGGGCGAAGCTGTACGACCTTTAATATGGCCAGCGCCGCTCGAAACAGAACTATCCAATGCCATATCCATGCTGGCAATACCTGAATCCGCAGAGATCTCACGACTACCAGAGAAGCCGCGGCGCGTATTGTTAGCCATTTGCTTAGCGGTCTTCAGGTCCATCGGTTGCCCGCCGGGTGTATGCGCTACACTGGCGGATGCCACTATAGTTAAAGGGTGTTGCGATTGGACTTCTTTGGCGCGTGCTCCCGTCAAAGTGCTAGTCATCGTGGGCGATGGTGTGTAAACGCTACCAGGTGTAGTTGGTGTCGTGGCACCTACACTTATGGCCACTGGAAACTCTGGTTTCGGCAAACTGACTGTTTGGAGTGTAAACTTTGAAAAACTGGCTGGCGGTGCACGCGGTGTGGGGCGAACGCTGCAAGTGAAATATTGAAATGTGAAAGTTAATTACATATGTATGTACCCAGAGAATTTTAGTGCAATTTGTCAGGCCGCATATATGTATGTATGTATGTACTCACATAACATTTGTGTGCATGCCCGTAGTGATGACGTTTCGCGACTGATGCTGTTGCGGCTGGTACATTGGCTGATGAGTCCAACTGTTGGTTCCGCCACGGCCACTACCATAGCTGCCATATGTGCTGGGCTGTTCGAAGAACTGTCGCCGCTGATATTCAATTGTGCTGTTCTGACTCAAATTGAACGTTATCGATTTGGGTTGTGATATTTTTGGGCGGCCAGCCACATCGGTGGCGCTGCCCGACTCACTAGTCTCATCACCTGAAGTCAATGCCCGGCCTGCATGTGCACTCTTCGAGCGGCGCTTCACTGTAAAAAGTCGACAGCCAAAAATTTGTTAGTGTGTGAAGTAGAGTGTACGCGAGTAAGTTTTAAATGCAATAGTGCCACAATGCATGGCCTTTATTTCTTTTGCACACTCGATTTTTATTTGGTTGCTTTATATTTGTACTTTTTTGTGACTTTTGAATTGTTTATATTGGCCTTTAGCCTAAATTGAAAGTAACACACTGCACGATTGCGACATTCGCAACACTTGCAGTTAGACCTTGCAACACAATCGCAGCACAGCTCAGCAACAGACCTCTAACAACTGATTTACCGGTGCGCTACTCTTGCTATCTACCGCCCTGTTCCCCTTGGCCACCAATTGCTTTTTAATTGAGTTCATGGACTTGTCGCGCCATCACACTTTAGTGAATGGATACATTTTGCTTACCCAGCGCTTGAAAAAGTGAGAGAACGAAAAATTTATCGACTTAGGAGCAATCACAGACAGCGCAAATAAAAACATTTACATAAACAAATCAAATTAGAAGTAGCGAAATTGGATTGCTCTGTGATACATCGCTAATGATTTATGCATAGTCAAGAGAGGTAAGACCCGAACTGGAATAAGGGTCGTCTGAATAACGTACACATGCGTCTCTCCATTAGAGTGGACATACGGGAACGATTTTCGAAAACACACATATTTTCGCACGAGAAATGTGAGATTGCGAATGAATTTTTTTGTAATAGATCCTGTTCGGCATATATGGAATCTTTGTACCAAAGAAAATTACAAAATCGACCGTAATTTTCTGAATTTCGAAATTTTCGGACAAAAAAATAAAATAACCGCAACACTAAAGCTCTGGTGTAAGTGAGTAATTTTAGCATAGCAACCAGAAATGAAGACCGACGATAAAATTGATCGTCTGGTCCTTGTTATAACTGCAGAAAAAATGTTCGGTATTTCACAAATAAAAGAGTCTTGTGTCGAAAATATGGATCAGTCAACTATCTTCAACGCAAATAAAAGATTTATAATTTGGCTGAACACTGTCAGACATTGAAATTCATTAAAGCGCGCATTGTATTTCCTTAAAAATAAAATGGGTTGCGATTCTCTCTTTTTTCCGTGTCGTCATCATGTCCGCTAGTTGCTGGTTAAAGCTGTATTCCAGCCAAACTACGGAAACAACATCGCTATCAGAAGTTCCTCTCTTCAATCGTAGTGAGTGGAGGTAATATTTGCTATATTTTAAATGGAAGAAAACCCCAACGGTGTTTTTTAGACACTTGAAGCTTGCATATTATTGTATTAAAATGGAGTGGGTTATTGAACTGTATATTCAAGAAAATTCTAACGATTCTGAGAATAAGTTTAAAATTTGGATGAATTTTTTTTATTTTTTTTTAGTTTTTTACAAAGGTTTTTTTTTATAGAATGAACTGTATTTCAATTAAGCATTCTTAAAATAATAAATAAACAAGAGTTGCATTAAAAACACCTTTTAAATTGGTGTGCTAATGTTATGGCCGATACTTTATTCGACAGGGCTATTAGTAATTTTTCTAAATTTTTTAGGTGTTAAGCTTTTGAAAATAAATTTTGGATTGGGATGCAATTTTCCCCAGTGTGTCGTCCACATTAAAAAGAGTAGATGTGTCTACCGAAAGTTATGGTCGGTAATTAAGGTTGCCACACCTAAACTTCCGAATGTGGTACAGATAAGAAAAAATTGGGGGACTTGGAGTACAACTGAGAAAAAAAATTTGGTATTTTCGTGGGAAAAATAAGACTAAATGCATTCAACAAAAAATTGATTTATTCGCTTATGGAATATGTAACTGCATATCCAAGAACTCACATTAAAAACTCCAAATTTTGATGGAAATTTGCTGAATTTTTCTGAAATGTGTATTAAGTTTGCAAGATTGAGTAATGTATGCATATGGTTTTGTTTGAAGCACGAAAAGTATTTTTATAAAAAAATAACAAAACAATTAACTTAGAAAACATTGTAGATATCTGATAAATACGGCATAAGAACATTTGCAAATAAAAATTATACTTTTCGTTCAACTTTGAATCAACTAATCGCCTGTGAAAGTTGAACAAAACAAACACGCTTTAAGCGAAAAGTGAACGATTTCGGGCAAAAATGGGGGACCTACGCAACCTTCCGTAGCAAGGAGGCACAAAAAGTCAAAATAGGGTAACTTCACACTGATGACAAATCATTTAGAAGGAGTTTTCGAGAATTCTCTGCCAAGGAAACAAGGACATAACAGTATCTCCTCGTAACACAAAATGGATCACCATGTACTGGGACTCGTATCAAAGTAGGTAACTAAAATCTGAACTTGAGCCCTGCTTACCAAATATCTACATACATATACATATAGAAACTATCTAATAAAGCCAACTGGTTAAACTTTGGTAGTAAACTGCACGCAAAACAATATTGCGAATATTGCAAATATTATAAACTCGAAAATTAAATTGTCGCTATGCGCACTCAATTTCTCTACCATGTTTCGCCTACTCATGCCACA